CGGCGAAGTGCCAAGGTAGACGCGCGTTGGCGGCGTCGAGGGGCTCCGCAGCAATGGTGCGTGCCAAAGGCACCCACGCTTGTGCAACTTTCCCGCTATCAGGCGGAGGGCCGAGTGTGTCGGGTTGGAGGCGGGAAAAGAGCCTCGGCGTGTCGCTGTAACTCGCCACTGCGCACGCACTACTGCAGATAGCACTGGATACCCCGCATCGACGCAGCGCCCTCCAGCGAGAGAAGGCGAGCCTCCTCTTCAGCAGCCGCCCGAGAGGCCCCGACGGGAACGCCAGCGATGACGCCGGCGGCGCGGGTGTGGAACTTCTCCAGGCGCTCCAGCGCCGACAGCGAAGCCGTGTTGCAGCGCGCCACTGCTCCGTAGAGGAGTTGGGGGGCCCACCAATGAGGGTCTTGGGCAGCGGACGAAGCGTCTCGTATTTCGGACCCATGTTGCCGCTGACACCGCCTCGACCTCCATAAGTCTTGTTTCCTTGCGGAGGTAAGGGATCCCGCACCTGCCGGCCAACCCCGCGCAATGGCTGGATCATAACCGCCCCAAGAATCGCGGGAGGCAATCCTCCGCCAAGCGGGCCCCTCCCGCGTGCGGTTCCACGCTCTCCGTGAGGGCGGTGCCAAAGCAGCGCGCACTTTGTCTTCGCGGCGCTGGGTTCCATGTTTGATTCTGCTCTGCCCATTTTGAGACGCTATCCAACGCCTGCTGCAGAGTGCGCTCCATGGCGCCTCTCCCTCTCTCGGTGGCACGAGTGGTGGCGGTCAGGTCATCAGTGGAGAAAGCAAGTTCAGGGTTGGGGATGCACACCAGCTCCTCGCTGAGGCTGTTCGCGGCAACGGTGGGTGGCAGCGGGCCGAGCACGAACCCTGCGGGAAGCCACGGGCGAAATGAACCGGTGCGGTGGGCGTATTTCGTACACGCGGCTTTTGGCCGTGCAGCAGGGAAAGGAAGTCCGCCACCCACCGGCTCAGGCACGGCGCCACCTTGTGCGCGCGGGTGCGTGAAGGATGCGGCCGCGATAAACCGAGCCGAAGGCCCCAGCGTGACCCACCAACACCGCACCGACCTTCCCCCGCTTGCCACAGTGAAATGTCCGAGCAAGCAGGCGAGCTAACGGATCCAGCGTGGAGCGACCAGGGCGAAAACCAGCTTGCTGGGGAGGAAGTTGGGCTTCAACTGTGCCGCGGATGCGTCGTGCCACAATTCTTTCCACGAGCTTGCGCGGGCAGCTGGTGAGGGCGACTGGCCGAACCGCGGCGGAATCATTTGCCCGGCTTCCCAGGCTTGAGGAGTGGGACAATTGCAATGCCCACTTCCCGGGAAGCCGGAGCGCCACCGTCGCCGATGCTCCCGTTGAACGCGGCCGCGAGTTCCTTGCAGGCGGCGAGGGGCGGTTGGTGCAGGGCCTCGCAGTGAAGCGCACCAAGCCCCGGCGCACTCCGGAGACGCATCTCCCGCGATGCAGCGTCAAGCTCCCCAAAGAGAATTCAGACGTGGCGGCGCACACTCGCGCCAAGGTGCCGGCGCGCTCCTTCGTGGCGGTCGGTTGGCCATCCGCCGCCGCAACCGGCAAACTGGCGGGGCGCGGGGCGTAGACTGCCCTGGCGAGGCTGCAGCTTGCCGCCTCCGCCGGCTCCGGTCGCGAGCACCGCTCCTTCCAGCGAGCCACCGCGACATTGCTGAGACGCGTTCGTC